TAGTATTAGCTCTGATTCTATTAAGTACTTGGACAAGTACGAACATCACATAATGCCCAAAACACCTGTACTTTCGCTGCAAGTTAGTTAGCTGTAATAATTCCCAAGTACTTGCAGAATAGTACTTTTGAACATTCAAGCAAGAGCTTGTTTCTTACTTGAGTGCTTGCCAAAAATGAAGCGTGTTGTGGATATTATCTGTGAAAGCACTTGATCATATATTCGACCCAAACCCATCATCTAGTGTTCCAACAATCAATTAAATCCATTTGTATTCAAAATCATGTTTTAGATTCTACTTGTTTCATTTAAATAAAAGAAAAGAAAATGATCCAACTAGTACTCATGATCTTGCTTCTGCCAATCGTAAGTAGCGGTATCATCAACAAACATGACTGTAGTATCTGTGCCGGTTCAACGTATCAAATAAAAATATCCATTGGCGATGGTCAATACGCCTATGAAGTTTTTGTTCTTCAAGAGGACCATACAGTTGTAGCAATTGATAGTTCACAAAGTGGTACTACTTCAGGAAGCACACTCGCAACTCTCCCGTTTACTGCCTCGATTGGAAAATGGAGTTGTTGTGAAAGAAATAAAGTTAAGCTTCAAGTTCTTGATTATAATCTTCCGGTACTTGGTAATACAACTCCAGGTTCAATAGCTCTTGTTACTACCGTTTTGACTGTCACAAATCATGGTCAAAATGTGAAAGGAACACTCGGATTCTCAAACTATCCGCTCGGTGTTAATCCAACTGCTGCCAATGCCAAACCAATTGCGGGACAAACGTTCGGACCATTCGATGTCTCTGGTGAACGAATCAATTTCTCTACACACTAGTTTGACGAAACGAGATCATCGACAGCTGGAAAACAAACTTTAAAACATTGCTACTTCTATTCTTTCTTTTTTCTGTTCATTTTCTGCTCATCTTCTGCTCATTTTATCTTCATAAATAAATAAATAAATAAATTCATTCAACTGTTCTCACCAGAGACTGGCAGAATATAGGACGAATTTCGTCTTACTATATCGCGGAACGAGACAAGAAAATTCGCAAGAAGGCTTCGAAAAAATATCGATGGGATGGGGAACACGGTTGGTCGTATTGCTAGTCTGAAGATGTGAAGCTACCAATACTTTAAGAGAGCCACCATGAGGGGACCAAGGAACTGAAGCACTGGTCAAATTTTAATGTTTTGATTTTTTGTGCGCATTAGATAGATCTTCATCTGAAACAAGGGAGAAACGTCGGATTTTTGGGATTGCCAATCCATGAAAATTCCGAAAAAAATCCCAAAAAAATCCCAAAATTCATCAGCAAAGTCCTCTTGTAAACGAAGGAATTTCGAGCTGAAAGTTTTATCATATGTAGGCCTCATGGTCCTTAAAATATCCTAAAAGTTTCAATGTAAACGAATGTTTCCTTCTTAAGATAATCAACTTTCAAGAAAAGTGGATTTTCTGACCGTGCTGCGAAATATGAGTATTTCTTGCAATCGCATTATCTTCAGGAGAAAACATCCGTTTGCGCCAAAACTTTTAGAATATTCTAAGAACCACAAGACCTACATATGATAAAAATTTCAGCTCGAAGTTCCTTCATTTTCAAGAGAACATTGCTGGTGGATTTTGGGATTTTCAATATCCGAAAATCCAAAATCCACCGTTTCCCCCTTGATCTGAAACCACAAAAACTAAAGAACAGGGGCATATACAAGGGGGGAAAGCGGATTCCCTGAATCCAGTGTACAATGAAAATCCAAAGAATATATATTGTTCGTATCGAATAAAAATCGATGAAGTGAATAAAGCATACATTATTCAAAATAGATACTATAAGAGTAATTTTTTTTTTATTTTGCGTTTCCATGTAACACTCGGAAGTGCTTACATTATGAATTAATTAGAAGTGTTTCAGTATAAGCTACAGTTTTTATGCAAAAAGTTATACATTCACTTTTGTCTGTAGGTACTAGATATTGAATCAGCAAGTGGAGGTAGTAAGAGAGAGGAAAAAAAGGCATAAAAAAATGTAAAGAATTTAAGTAGAAGCGAGCAGCGTGAAGAGAAAGAGAAAAAGGGAGAAAAAAAGAAAAAAAAAGAAAAAAGAAAAAAGAAAAAAAGAGAAAGGAAACCAAAAATGACAACGACGTTTGTAAAGAGAGAGAGAGAAGAGAGCACTATTCGTGCTTCTATCTTCACATATAATTATTGTACTTCAGTGAACGATATCCATTTTAGGAGAAGCAATTCATGTTTGTTTATCAATAATTTTGCTCGATTGTTACGAAAAAACTGACTAAGATGATCATTTTTTCTCTTATAAGACTCATCCCAGAAAAAAATATCGTTATAGAAGAGTGAGCGGCCTAGATCCGTGGTGTGGATGCTTCTGAGTCTTTTCTGAATATACTGCTTCACATAAACATCTTATGAATGTTCATTGGTCATAGTATATAGATTACGAGCTGAGGCAAAGGGACAGCGATGCACCAGTCGGAGGCCTCCACGAAACTTCTGTTATAAAATTTGTTGTTGTGATACTGAAAGCAGAGGGTAAAATGGAAACAGCCATGCAAAATGTGGAAATGTGTAAGCAAAAAAGCATTGTCTCAATGCCTTAGTGGACATGCACCTTCTTGTTCCTAACCATCTAAGTTTAGCAAGAGATCTCTGAATATTCCCTATACATCTGTTTATTGTTGGTTTTAAAGAGAGTTTACTCGTCCATGTAAATCCCAAATACTTAAATTCATTCACAATTTCAATTCTTTTGCCCTGCATTTCTATTTTTACTATTGGCTTTTTTATTTGTATATAAAACAATTGTGCAACAGTTTTACTTATATTTATAGGTTGCTTCCATTTTTTCGAATATTCAAATATTTGATCGCATATTTTCTTGCCTTCTCGTTCTAAATATTCGATCATGGGTGTTCATTTGGCTTCCAAAGGGGGTCTTATAAGAACACATAAGTCATCTGCGAACATATGTCCCGAATGAGCTCGCAAGATTGAACAAGATCAGAATGAAACACTATAAATAGATACGGGCTAAGACTACTACCTTGAGGTAGGCCGATGTTTATATGAAAAAATTCTGATGACTTATCCCCAAATACAACATACGCCTATCTATTTTCAAGCCAAGATACTAACATTTTCAACATACTGAGAGGTATCTCTAACCTCCACAGTTTTGTTAAGAGCACTGCGTGCCACACGCGGTCATATGCTTTCTGACAGTCCACATATATAGCTAAGGTTGGAATGTTGGCAGCCATACTATTCTTAATCTCCTGAAAGATTGACAACACCCTGGTAGGCAATAAGCATCTTGTGCGAAAACCCGATTGTTCTACTGGAACAATATGGTTTGTCTCTGCCCAATATCTTACTCTATTTAACACTAGTTTTTCAAAAAGTTTTGAGTGAGTTGCAAGTAAGGAAATCGGACGAGTTTGATCGTATTTAGGAACACCGGCTTTTAATTTATTTAAAGTTATTATCTTCGCTAGTTTCCATTTCTCTGGATATCGACATTCACTCAACCATTGATTAAAACAAACAACGAGACATTCGATATAACTTATCGGAAGCTTTTTAATTATGAAGTTGGATATTTGATCGAAACCTGCTGATTTTTTTGATTTAAGGCATTGGATCACTCTTCTGACCTCGACGATATTAGTTCTCTCCATTTTTTCTTTAGAGTTAGATAAAACGTTCAGTATTTCATTACATTCATCAACAACTTCTACTTCATGAGAATCGGATAGATCTATCACTGGCTTGTTGAACTTTTCACTATAATAGTTATATAGTTCCTTTGTAATATCGTTTTGTTCTGAGAGTACTTTATTACTACTTAATAGTTTATAAAATGGTAATGAACGTGTTTTATGAATACGGGATAGATATGACCAAAACATTTTGTCTTTGTTGTCATGTGTCTGTTGCATTGTAGACAAAAGTTTTTGCCATTGAGTCGCTTTATATTTTCCTATCTCATTTTTTATTTCTCTTGTCATAACTCGAAGAAGTACTCTTATCTCTTCTTTTTCTATTCCTCTTTGGAGTAGATGATAGTATTTATTTCTTATTTTTCTTACTTCTTTTAATTTCTCAATTATATAATAAGGTAATGATCGTTTATATTTCTCTTTCTCCTTCCATTTTGTTAATCTATTCTTTGCTGCTGCAAGAAAGCGCACGTACTGACAGTACCATTCATTTATGTTTATTCTTTTCTGTTCTTCTACCCAGAATGTTTGAAGAAGTATTAAAATAGCTACGAACGCCTTCCAATTGGTATGTGAAAAGGAGCCGTTCGAATTGAAATATATATTTTCACATGTTAAACTAAGAGGCCAATGATCGCTACTGCCGAAGTGGATTGTATCACATGATATAGCAGGAATATTTGAAAATGATAGATCTATATTGCGCAACGAGCGCTTTGACGAGTGTAATGTCGACGGAATGTAGCTGAGATTATTCTCATCCATCCACGCTTTCACACATACCCCTCTCTTATCTGTCGACGGACTATTCTATTCTTTCATTGCTGTATTAAAATTACCAGAGAGAATGGTTCCTTCTATCAGAAAAGGAAGAATGTCACCAAGATTGCATTTTGGGCTATTTGGCCAATAGACACCTATGATGCGTAATGTCTCTGATAATCCTATAATATCTATAACTACTGTATTTGGTATATCTGTTTCAATACGTGATACTTTCAAATGCTTTCCTACTGCTGTACATACGCCACCACTATGATTAGTGCCTTTCTGATAAAATATGTTAAAATGTGGAAGTTTATTTATGTGCCAAAGCTCGCCCACTTCAGTAAAAATACAGATAGAAGCCTCTATTTTGTACACTAATTCTATCACTTCAAGTGCACGTGTGCCCCATCCTTGGACATTATAGCACATTATTTTTAAAGGTGTATTAACACTATTAGAAACTGTTACATTATTTTTTTCCCACTGACTTAATACTGCATTTAAAGATCTATTAGAGTACCGTTCATTCAAGAGATTTAGTAGTAATTTTTGATCACCTGTTGAAAAATTCCATCACCTTAGCTGATGCATCGCTTGTTCTATTGAATCTATGAAATCATCGTTTTTTGAAGAGAAGAGGGAAAGCGCAAGCGGATTAAGCGAAGAATTAAAACTACTTATGATTGTTTCGTACATAATGAATCATCACTAATCGTGATTTCAGATGTTGTAATCTGTTTATCTGGAATTGGTGGTTGAAGTGATGATGTTGGGCGTTTACGTCTTATTTCATAATCATTTTTTAAATCCGTTTTTAGATCACGAAGATTATCGTAGATAGATTGTAAACCTATCTTGTATTTCACTAAATCAGGCTTTACTTGATTCGCTATCGGACGAAGCACATTTTGAATGAGTGATTGGACATTTTCAATCAATTTATTCATTGTGCTTTCGTGTAATTCTGCATCTAATGCTGTTTGATTCACTAGTGTATTGATTTTTTCAAGTTTCTCTTCTACTCTTCTATTACTTTCACGCATTTCAACCAAGTTTTCAGTTTTAAGCAGAAGTACTTTTGTTGAATCAGGTGGTATATCTTGACCGATTTCTATTTGTACACCATTCCACACTGACTATTGTGATTCTTTAGATTTACCTAGAGATGGAAACTCTTCGTTCTTCTTATTGAAATCTGGTCGTGAATTAGTATAATCATTTCGATGTAATTTTCCGGATTCCAAAGCCTAAGTAACTTCTTCTTTTAGATCAGCACGATATTGTTGAATAACGTGACATTTACCATTTAGTGAATGATCTTCACCATCACACTGAGCACATTTTGGAACGTTGTTGCATACATGTTCTTCCTTTTTTTTGTTTCTTGTAGACAAAGTCGACAACGTTGTACATTATTTTTACATTGTTCACGCAAGTGACCAGTTTTCCAACATCGGGTACAATATGTCACACGATTCCCAGATAAAAAAAGGTGTGTTGGATAACCAGTGATTGCCAATCGAAATACGACCAAGTTCACGCGCTGTATTATATTCCGTTAAATCAGTTACTGTAAAGCGAAAATCATTAGACTTCCGTTCGTACATGTAGTAAATTTGTTTTATATTATCAGCTGATGCAATAGTACGCTTAATTTCTTCTTTAATAAATTCGAGATCCAATTCAGGTGGAACATACCGAACAACTAAAGCAAAGCAATCCGGAATAAATTTTGGTATAACAATTTTAATATGAACACTTTTGATTGCTGTTGGCCAACTATCTGTTATTACTAAGGTCATGTAATCTTCCTTGTTATTCACTCCTGATTTAAGACGTTTATTGGCCCATCCCACTAATGAAAAGTGTTGAATACGTATATTATGTTCTTTAAAATGCTTTTCAATCAAACTTCTAGCTTCGAAAGCTGAAGGAAATCGATGTATAGTTGTAGATTGATCGAATTCGATGAAAAAGCACGTTTTAGTTGATCAAATGGAAGTGACTCCCGTTGTTGATCGTTAGTTGTTGTAGTTTGTTCCCTTTGTGTATATGTATCTTTGCTTGTTTTATGCTGCTTCGGTGCTAAACTTATCGATCCACCGCTCTCATTGAGCGGTCGACTACGTTTTGGCGTTGATGATTTTTGTTGAAAGCTTGTTTTAATATTTAAAATTGGTGGAATTTATTGCTGCTCTTGGTTTATTTGATCATTGTAAGTATGCTGAAACGACTGTTGTGCACTACGAGCTCGAGTAGATTCAAGAAACTGATAAAAATCAGTTAACATGTTGGGGTTTTGTGCTAGTAAGCGAAGAAGACCCTCTCGCTGTTCTATCGTGTTGTTATCATAGTAAATTGGTGGTTGAAAACACTGTTGTTGCTGTGATTCACCCATTTCAGATTCACCAGTCATGAAATGAGTGGATCGAACAAGATTGTTTATTTCGGCTGATTGAACTTGAATAGAGGACATTTAATGCTCCTCTGCTACTGCAAGGGAACTGATAAAATAGATGGGTATGTAAGAGAACGGTTAGGAATGCGACTATTCTCAATGAAGGCAGATGAAAGAAAGGACTATAAGAGTAATGACGGTTTAGTGTTGGTTAGGATTTTTTATTGATATCGATAAGTTAAAAATTTTTTTAATATTTTTTTCAAACGTATTACATTGTTTAATGTAATATGATGAACTTAAATTCAACAGAATAACGGTATAGACCACTTAATGTTTGCTTGTTCGTTTTCTTTAACGTTCATCTCTTATATGTACGACAGCCGGCCATTTAAATAACACATGACAAAAAAAAAACAATAAATTCCTATTTCTTGTCTCTTCCTCATTTCTAATCTCTCACGTTACACACCACATCTATTATCTTTATAATTTGATTTTTTTTTGTACAATGCCACCACTGATATTGCCCATGGACATAACAGTTCTTCCTTCAGATGTACTTTCATTATATGACGAACCTTTTTATGATTTAGTTAAGAAATTAGCTGGTCCAATAGAAGCAAAATTACTTGAAATTCAAGGAATTCGTAGTGCTTATTCATTAATTAATACTGAAGATATTTTTGATATATTGAAGTATGAATGTAAAACATTGGATGAGATTTTAAAAAAATATCTGTCTTTTGGTGGATGACAATCGATATATTGTTAAACTTGGATGTAAAAGTAATTTACGATATTTAACTCAATTACTTACTGTTAAAAATGAAGAACATTTAAAAATGATTGCAACTCGATTGAAGTCAAAAAATAAGTCTAATGATGATTCTATTAATGATATATCTCAATCTCAAACAACAGCACAAGTTCTTCTGATATCTTCACAATTAGAACAAACTACAACAAAAACAACAACATGTTAGTATATTAAGTAATTTAGTAGTATATCACTACTAATACATGAGTTATAGAGAATTTGCAAGGTAATCCCTGTAAGAGATTTGAAAAAATATTTTTCTTCAGTAAGAAAACATAAAAAACGATCTCTATACTTCTTTTGTTTATTTTTCTATTACCAATCCCGCTGTTTATTACCTATCATGTGTTTATTAAGAAAATTCAAAATATATAAAATTCATATTATATAAAATGCATATAACATTATTTTGCATTGATTTTACAAACATTTCGATCATCTTGACTAGTACTACGCTGAATTCTCGTCGAGTTTAAATTTAGAAATATCTTAAATAACTTTAGATAAAAAATTCATAAAACGCATTTATTCATAAGAGATAATATTTATCCTTTAATAACGATGCAATGAAGCGTGTCTATAGAAAATTTACTCATCAGTTTATATACTCATACAGTATATACAGGAGAAAATATCATGGGAAATTATGAATCTTCGAGAATTTTTTTACTTAGTATTAGGGCGTGTATTAAGAGAGCACACACGAGGCCACCGAGAAATCGAAGCACTCGATAAAATTAAATTTTTTGATTTAATATTGTCATCAATTGCCATCCTGCTTCTACCATACTAGAAATGGTAGGTTACCATTTGCCCTAAATTCTGGTTCTCAGATTCGTCCCTATATCGGGCCCCATTTACGAACAATTAAGCAATTATGGTCAATTCTGATGACCAAATAGGTACTTTTATTTAGAAACTATTCAATTTAGGGACTTTTTTTCTTAAATACACACTATACCATATAGAACAAAATTCAACATCATCCTGTACCGTGTTGAAATGTTTTATCAATAAAACCAAATATTGTGGCGAAAACTCTAGTATGGCCAAGTACTTTCTGGTCACCAGAATCGTTTTGTATTCATTATCTATAGTTATTGGCATACGCATTTCAACTTCAATTTTCTTACTTATGATAGTTTGCGTTATGTGAAACATATGATTTTTGTATTTTACCCTAAAATGTTTTTTTTTTCATACTATTAATCTCTTTTCTTTTCTTTATGCTACACTTTGGTAGCAGTATGATCAATCGTTTTTTTAAATAATATTTAACAAATTTAAAAACAATACACTTGCAGATAAAAATTAAGCCAAACTTTTCAAGCAAACCAAATATTTTCGTCACAATTTCATAATAATAAATTTGTGTCTAGTCGCTAGAATACAATTAAAATACAGTCGTAGATTCTGTTTGCAAAATTAANTTTATTTTTGAATTAATTTCATCTTATTTTTCTATTTCTTTCGGTCTTTTATTATTTAACACAATCAATCATATTTTTCTCATCCTTAGTCACATGTTTTGATGATCAAATTACTCTTGTTTTAATGTATTTCACAAACAACAAAGCTTTGTATTATCAAGACTTTTACTAATCATTCTATCTAATTCATTCATTCCAACGAAAATATATAGCTATTTTGACTATTCCTTGTTCAATATACAGTGGGTACCAAAATTGATCAACAACCTGATTGAATTTTTTTGTTTTATTCATATCTCAAAAGTTAAATAAGCTAGAATGGGCTGGTTTTCACTACAGCGTAGCCCATAGTATCTCGTATTCATACACCAAATCAAAGGTCAACATTTCAGTCTGTTCAGTTTCTATTTAAAAAATGATAAAAGCCGGTCATTTTTTACCGTTCCAAAATTGATCAACCACTTATTTTTATGATTGTCTTCGTGCATATTTCAAATCATTCTTTTCTTTATAACATACCATTTGAAAGAGCAACCTTTTCTCTACAAGATGAACTGCTTTTTATTGTACCTCCTTTATGGAAAAGGGTCACGCTTAGATGGTTTCAGAGCATACTAGGATCATACTCAAAATATTTGATAAAGTACGATATTTTAATTTAGTATCCAACTAATTTGCGTTTTCAAGGTATCACCAGAAAGAGCATCATAAACTGCATCGGAAATGCTGTTTCACTAGCTATTCTATTGTAGAATTGGGAGCTCAAAGATTCTCATACACAGAGTAACCAAGCCAATCATGGACAAGGCTCCTTGTATTCTTCCATTAGCATCTCGAAGACGGTACCTGAACTTTTGCGATCAGTGCAGATTTATAGCGAATTCTTTACTCTACAAACCTGTTATCTTTGAAATCGAAAATACTTTTTTTCTTCTGAGCAGTGTACAATTGTGTAACGGTACAGGGCAATAATTAGAGCTGGCTACTAACATCAACAACCAACTGAATACAAATTTTCCTAACAAAGGAACCTATTATGGAAAATTATATACCGTTTTGCTCTGCATTTCATAGTCTTTCAAATGAGATATCGTGTGAACAATTTTGATCGCCTTTTCAATGAAATCTGAATCAAGATTATTGTTGATGTTAGTAGCCAACTCTAATTTTTGACGTGTACCGTTACACAATTGTACACTGCTCATGAGAATGAAATTATTTTCGATTTCAAAGATAACAGGTTTGTAGAGCAAACAATTCGCTACAAATCTGCACTGATCGCAAAAGTCCAAATACCCTCTTCGAGACGCAAATTGGAAAATGCAAGGAACCTTATCCATGATTGGCATGGCTACTGTGTGCATGAGAATCCACTAGCTCCCATTTCTACAATAGAATAGCTAGTAAAACATCATTTCCGATGCAGTTTATGATGCTCTTTCTGGTGATACCTTGAAAACGCAAATTAGTTGGAAACTAAATTAAAATATCGCATTTTATCAAATATTTCCGATACAGTGCTAGTATGCTCTGAAACCACCCGAGTGTGACGCTTTTCCATAAAGGAGGTACCATAGAATGTAGTTCGTCGTGTAGAGAAAGTTTTGCTCTTTCAAATGCTATCTTAGAAAGAAAATTATAACTTGAAATGCGTAGGAAGAGAATCATAACAACAAGTGGTTGATCAATTTTGGAACGGTGAAAAATGGCAGGCCTTCATCATTTCGTAAATAAAAACTGAAACGACTGAAATTTTGACCTCTGTGTTGGTGTATGAGTGCGAGATACTATGGGCTACGTTACGGGGAAAACCGGACCATTCTAGCTTATTTAACTTTTGAGATATGAATAAAACAAAAAAATCCAATCAGGTTGTTGATCAATTTTGGTACCCACTGTATGTATTCAACTACAAATCATTCATATAATTGTTTGAAATATAAATATCAATTACATAGAAAATGACACGCAAATATTATTTTCAGTCAAATTTTTAGAATCTTTAGAAAAATAAATTTTAATTAATTCTGAGAAACGATGATTTTAAAGATTAACTAAGGGTTTGACAATAAAACTATGCCAGATACTTATTGCTAAATTTTCTGTAGGAATAGGACAGAGAAATCATTGGTTTCTGATGAGGTATTTTCTTTTATTTTGCGTTTCTATGTAACACTTGGAAGTGCTTACATTATGAATTAATTAGAAGTGTTTTTTGTTTCAATATAAGCAGCAATTTCCGTGCAAAAAGTTATACAGCATTCACTTTTGTCTGCGGGTACTAGATATTGAATCAGCAAGTGGGGGTAATAAGAGAGAAAAAAAGGAACAAAAAATGTAAAGAATTTGAGTAGAAGCGAGCGCGTGAAGAGAAAAGGAAAAGAGAAAAACACCGAAAATGAAAACGACGTTTGTAAAAAGAGAGAAAGAGATGATAGCATCATTCCTCGTGCTCCTATCTTAACATGTAATTATTCTCTTTCAATGAACCATATCCATTTTAGGAGAAGCGATTCATGTTTATTCATTAGTAATTTAACTCGATTGTTACGAAAAAACTGACCAAGATGATCATTTTTTCTCTTATAAAACTCATCCCAGAAGAAAATATCGTTATAGAAGAGTGAGCGGCCTAGATTCGTTGTGTGGATGTTTCTCAGTCTTTTTTGAATATACTGCTTAACGTAAGCATCTAATGAATGCTTACTGGTCATGGTGTATAGATTGCCAGTTGAGACAAAGGGACAGCGATGCACCAGTCGGAGATTTACACGAAACTTCCGTTGTAAAATTTGTTGTTGTGATTCTGGAAATAGATGGAAAAAAGGAAACAGTCATGCAAAATGTGGAAATATGTAAGCAAAAAAGCATTGTCTCAATGCCTTAGTTGGCATGTATCTTCTTATTCTTAACTATCTAAGTTTAGCAAGAGATCTCTGAATATTCCCTATACATCTGTTTATTGTTGGTTTTAAGGAGAGTTTACTCGTCCATGTAAATCCTAAATACTTAAATTCATTTACAATTTCAATTCTTTGACCATACATTTCTATTTTTACTATTGGCTTTTTTATTTGTGTATAAAACAATTGTGCAGCAGTTTTACTTATACTTATAGGTTGCTTCCATTTTTTCGAATATTCAAATATTTGATCGCATATTTTCGTGCCTTCTGGTTCTAAGTATTCGATAATGGGTGTTAATTTGGCTTCCAATGGGGGTCCTGTAAGAACGCATAAATCATCCGCGAACAAATGTCCCGAATGAGCTCCGCAAGATTGAACAAGATCACAATGAAACACTATAAACAGATACGGGCTAAGACTACTACCTTGAGGTAGACCGATGTTTATATGAAAAACTTCTGATGACTTCTCTCCAAATACAACATACGCCTTTCTATCTTTAAGCCAAGATACTAACATTTTCAACATACTGAAAGGTATCCATAACCTCCACAGGTTTGTTAAGAGCCCTGCATGCCACACACGGCCATATGCTTTCTGATAGTCCACATATATAGCTAAGGTTGGTATGTTGGCAGCCATACTATTCTTAATCTTGTGAAAGATTGACAACACCCTGGTGGGCAGTAAACATCTCGGGCGAAAACCTGATTGTTCTACTGAGATAATATGATTTGTCTCTGCCCAATATCTTATTCTATTTAACACTAGTTTTTCAAAAAGTTTTGAGTGAGTTGCAAGTAAAGAAATCGGACGAGTTTGATCGCATT